CTGTTTAGAAGTGGAAACTACTACAATGAAAACAATTACAGTAATGGAACTGTAGCAGAATATGTGGATCTCTCTGCTCTACTTGCACAATCACTTTTTTGAGTCCTGGTATGGTACTTATTTTTTGTTTTTGTGTTGGTGGTAGATTGGGGGGGGGGGAAACCCCAAACATAATTTGGCCCAAATGCCATATTTATTTGGTTGTGAACCTTAGCCTGGGACAAACAACCCTCTCCTGGCACCAACAAGCAGAAAAAAGCATGCCTTGCTGTGGTGCATTTCCAATGTCCAGAAGGGGTGTGAAACAGCTTCATGAATTGTGTACATTTCCTACCCATAAATTACTTTCCCCATAACAGGAATGCTCCTTGAAGACCTGAAGACATTACAAAAGTCACTACCCATTCCCCCACCCCAGAAAGTGTTATTCTTACTGTCTTTCCTTTTCAACAACTGTATTTCATGGAATTACAGTCATGTCCGACTCCCGAAGAGTCAGATACGACTAAACAACAACAACATTTCATGGAATTGTATTTCATGGAATATTAGTTTCAGCAGCCTGCCACTCTATTATGATATAAGTAAGAATCATGATAGTCCCCTGCCAACAGGAATTAGGTAGGATTAGGGCTGTATTAAGCAGACATTTTATCCCTTTAGGAGGGCATATAAAAGGCCATGGTGATTATCAGCCAGTTGAAGGTGCAAGTGGAAAGATTTTCCAAGGAGGCATTGCTTCCTGGCCCTTCAGTCTTGCAAGTGGCCAAGGCAAAAGAATGAAATGAGGAAGTTCAACCTTCTCCCCATTTAGACTCAGACTTTGGGAACATGCCCTCCTACCAAATCTTTTACTCACTGAACACCCATCCTTGAACATTGCTTTTCATATGTGCCTTTCATACAAATCTCTGAGTGGTGCAAGATTCCAAAGGTTCTAGGCACTTACCTAGGATCTGTGTTTCCTTTTGGATTGAGGCCCAGAGGAGATTTTGGCATCTTTGTGATATATGTTTTTTTTTAACATCTATATATACAACCTGAGCCTACGATGGAGGGGTTCACAGCAATAAGGTCTTGTTTCTTGGATTCAAACAGAAATCAAATGTTGCTCTGAGTCTTTCTCAGAGCTTTACTTCTAGGTCACATCACTCCCACACCCAACTCCAAACTCTGGCTTTGTCTGTTGAGGGAGCAGCCATTTGCCATCTCCCACCAGAGTCCCTTTATCCCCCATCACCTCACCAGAAAGCTATGACTACAGGGTACAATGAGTACCCTGTTCAGTGCCCCCCCTCCCATCACAACACTCTTCCTGCAACTCTCTTTTGTGCTTCCAGCCCCTCCAGCATTGTTGTAGCTACTTTCAGTAACTACAGAGAAAATGGCACATGCTAATCTAAAAATTGAAACTATCTACAATATACAAGAAGGGAATATACATTGCTGTGCACCCCCTGAATTATAATTATGTTTCAGTTAGAGCTTTGGTTGGTGGTAAATATATTATTAAATCTACAGGCAAGGGTTTATATTTTTTTACTGCTACTGTAAGTAATAAACAGCTGTGATATACTGCAGCTGTTGAAGGATGTGAAACACTGTCAAAGATTAAACCTAGAATTGCACACTTAGTAGGATCAAAATGGATTAGAAGCATTTGAAATATGGAATTATGGCATAATTAGGCAAATGGGAACACATCTTTCTTGTGCAAACATAATCCATGTTGCAATGTTCAGAATATACAAGCGAAGCACAAAACTGTTTGGTAAACTTGATAACAACAGTAGAACAGTAGGGTTTCCAGTACCTTGAAGGTTATGTTTATATGTCACCCCCAGAATTTGCACCCTTTAAAAGTCCCAAGCCGATTATTTTGTTAATTGCCCACATGTGGCTCAGATCTATTTTCCACCTCCACAATTCAAATGCGATGTATTGCATTAGGCTTATGTGGATCAATGCCACCGTCCTGCTCATCCCTTCTTTTCTTGAAGTAAATATCATATTACACACCTTGTTTAAACTTCAGAGCTTCTGGGACTGGGTGAGGCCTGGGGCCACTCATGCTAGAGGGCATAACAGCAGGTGTGTAAGCAACTCCCATAGCTGCAGCTGTCATTGCCATGCTTTGCCACAACCCTACCTTGCCTTTGTTGGATCAACAGAATATGTTTGCATGGGTGTGACTGTACAGCACAGGAGAACAGAAGTAGATTGGAATTTACTTGGCATTTTCAAGTTTCAAATTGGGACTATACAGCTTGGGACAAGGATCACCTCTGATATGCCCAATCAACAGCTTCAATGTGTACGTGAGAGCATCCTGCAGATACCACCTTTGTAGGAGATCTATTCCTCACAATATAGGAATTGGGTCCTTGGTGTTCTGGCACATACCCTTTGGAATTCCCTCCTGTTAAATATTAGACAGCAGCCTCCTCTGTTGTCTTTTGACTTTCCTCTTCAGAAGAAATTGTTCCCAGTCTGCACCAGTAATGGAAGTATGTTTAAATGCATTACCATTTGCATATTTGCCACCCTGATCTTCCTTGGGAAGAAGGGTGAGATATAAATTTAACAATAAACAATGTTTTCAACAATGGATCCAGGTGCACAGCCTGGGAGTCATTTTGGACTCACAGTTGTCCATGGAGGCACAGGTCAGTTCTGTGCCCAGGGTAGCTGTCTACCAGCTCCATCTGGTATGCCAGATGAAACCTTACCTGCCAGCAGACGGTCTTGCCAGCATGTTACATGCTCTGCTTATCTCCCGCTTGGACTACTGCAATGTGCTCTACATGGGGCTACCTTTGAAGGTGACCCAGAAACTACAATTAATCCAGAATGCATCTGCTAGATGTGTGACTGGGAGCGGCCGTCGGGACCATATAACACTGGTCTTAAAGGATCTACATTAACTCCCGGTACATCTCCAAGCACAATTCAAAGTGTTGGTACTGACCTCTAAAGCCCCAAAAGACCTCAGCCCAGTATACCTGAAGGAGTGTCTCCACCCCCATTGTTCAGCCCGGACACTGAGGTCCAGCGCCGAGGGCCTTCTGTCGGTTCCCTCACTGCGAGAATTGAGGTTGCAGGGAACCAGGCAGAGGGCCTTCTCGGTAGTGGTGCCCGCCCTGTGGAGAACCCTCCCATCAGATGTCAAGGAAATAAACTACTATCTAACTTTTAGAAGACATCTGAAGACAGTCCTGTTTAGGGAAGTTTTTTTAAAATATTTGATGTTTTATCATGTTTCTAATATTCTGTTAGGGATGCGGGTGGCGCTGTGGGTAAAAGCCTCAGCGCCTAGGGCTTGCCAAGTGAAAGGTCGGTGGTTCAAATCCCCGCGGCGGGGTGCGCTCCCATTGCTCGGTCCCAGCGCCTGCCAACCTAGCAGTTCGAAAGCACCCCCGGGTGCAAGTAGATAAATAGGGACCGCTTACTTGCGGGAAGGTAAACGGCGTTTCCGTGTGCTGCGCTGGCTCGCCAGATGCAGCTTGTCATGCTGGCCACGTGACCCGGAAGTGTCTGCGGACAGCGCTAGCCCTCGGCCTCTTGAGTGAGATGGTCGCACAACCCTAGAGTCTGTCAAGACTGGCCCGTACGGGCAGGGGTACCTTTACCTTTACCTTAATATTCTGTTGGGAGCTGCCCATTCAGATGGGCGGCATACAAATAATAAAATTATTATGAATTACTATTACCCTCCTCCCAGCTTCATTGCTGAAATAAAGGCTTGGGGAGTGTATTTTGTGGGTAGAAAGACTCGATCACTTGTGATACTGAAAACAAAACCCTGGTATGTGTACAGAGACACCCTATTCCTCAATTCTAAATATATGTGAGAGCTGGACCATAAAGAAGGCTGATCGCCGAAGAATTGATGCTTTTGAATGATGGTGCTGGAGGAGACTCTTGAGAGTCCCATGGACCGCAAGAAGATCAAACGCATCCATTCTGAAGGAAATCAGCCCTGAGTGCTCACTGGAAGGACAGATCGTGAAGCTGAGGCTCCAATACTTTGGCCACCTCATGAGGAGAGAAGACTCCCTGGAAAAGACCCTGATGTTGGGAAAGATGGAGGGCACAAGAAGAAGGGGACGGCAGAGGACGAGATGGTTGGACAGTGTTCTCGAAGCTACAAACATGAGTCTGACCAAACTGCGGGAGGCAGTGGAAGACAGGAGTGCCTGGCGTGCTCTGGTCCATGGGGTCACGAAGAGTCGGACACGACTAAATGACTAAACAACAACAACAAATATATGTTCAGTCACTACTTGGTGCCTTGCTCCAGTTCATGGAGTTAATATGTCTGTCTCAAAATAGATCCCACAAGCCCTAATTCTGCTTATCATTGCTAGAGCAATGTATCCCAACCTTGGGTTGCCAGCTGCCTTTGGACTACAACTCCCATCATCCCCAGCTAGCAGGACCAGTGGTCAGGGATGATGGGAACTGTAGTCCCAAAAACAGCTGGAGCCCCAAGGTTGGGGAAACTCTGCTATAGAGAAACCACACCCACTGCTTTTTTCAGCCCTCAGTTCCTGCACTTCTCAGGTGGGTGCTATTTTGCCATTACAAGGGAATGTGCGAGTTCCGGCACCTCTTTTTCTAGAACAATAGCACCGACCACACGAATGCAAGTCTCCCATGCAGGTGCTGAGCTCAACCGCTGAGGTCCCCAAAGTATTTTGGGTCCTCAACACAGAGCTTCTGCAAACCAACTTCGTGGCAACTAGACCTCAACGACACACACCTGCATTTACAAGCCCCAAGCCTTGAGAGTCTGACCCCTGGGGCAAGAGTGTTGCAAGACGCAGAGATGGTTAAAGAAGCTCTGCTGTTGCACACAGTACTTTTGCGTTGGTGAGGCAGCGAGCAGAGAAAGTGCCAACATTTTCGCCAGCGGACGCCTCTGCAGAGGAGCTAGCTAGGCCCCGGGATGCAGCCCAGCCGGGAGGAGCCGGCTCCTTTCCTCCTCCGCCGCCGCCGCCATTCCACCGATCGGTCAGCAAGCGGCGCCAGATTTCGATGATTCACGCCGAGCCGGCGAGGAGGCAGGCGCGCACACACAGCCCGACACTTACACAAGCGCACACAAAGCGGCTGGGCGAAGCTGGAGCGGGGCTCCGACGCCGAGCCAGCGGGGAACGGCGACGCAAAGCCAGGCGGAACGGGTGCCAGCGCGCGGAGGACGGCAAAGTCCTCTGGCCGAAGGTGAGTGCGCCTGGAATAGCTCGGCAGGGAAACTTGCAGGCTGCTTCTCGCGCCGCCTTCGAAAGGTACCCGCGTCTCCCTCAGAGCGTCCTTTGCTTCCCTCAGCCCGAGGGGCGGCTGCTTTCCTTTGGGGAGGAGGCGCAGGGAGGGGCTCCCAAGGTAGGTCAAGCCCGTGAGGAGAATCCCTACTTCTGCCACTTAAACTTTCCCGGGAACCCGCCGCCCTCCCCTCCCGGTAGGACTGCTGCTGCTGCCTTGGCAGTTTTGGTTCCATCTCCAGGTTCCTCTGACGGAGCGCCCTGTGCGGTGGAGCTGCTCAGGAGACCATCAGCTGCGTCTCCCATCAAATGCGTGGCTCACCCGCCTCCCTTGCCCCTCCTAGAGCTATTAAGCCGCTGTGTTTTGAACGCTTGCCTCTTTTTCTTTTTCTTGTGGACTGATTGACTGAGACAGGTATTTGTCCCTGTTCTCCCCACCACCACCACCACCTCACCTCCTTTCTTCTCTTCCTGCTTTCTCCCTCTCCCAACCACCCCGCACCCCGTTTTGCAGATGCATAGGATATTGGCCATAGTTGTTTGGTGTTTTCTGCAAGTGGAAGGCAGGCATCCAGAAATCCTCCCCGGGAGCAGCAACAATGGCAATTTCTTGGACAATGACAAATGGCTGAGCACTGTTTCCCAATACGACAAAGATAAATATTGGAATAAGTTCAGAGATGTAAGTACTCCTGTCCCCCCCCCCTCCAAGCTGGTCCTTAGAGACTTTTTTTCCCTTGCTAGGGACTGTTCAGGTGTGTTGTTTTGGTGGGATCAGAGGGATGGGTATATCTATCAGTATATGTCAATGGTTGCTGTAGATTTGGAAGAAGATCCTCATCGTTTAAGATCAGCTGTGTTTCAGTCTTCTTACTATTAGTATTCTGTATATGTTTGGTTAAGGACTCATTTTCTTGGTCTTCAGTTTTTCCTTAGGGCATAACTTTCAGAGAACTTTCTGTGTGCCTCTGTTAAGAGATTAGTTGCTGTTAAATGCAACCTTCGGGGGGGGGGGAGGATGCAAAACTATTTACCCACTCAAGCCACAAGGTGGTAAACACCTGAAGCTCTCTTCATGCACATGTGGCAGGAGACCAAAGCAGAAGATTCTATTATCTCAGTTCTGCTCTCAGGGGTATTTGTTATGGTGTCTGTATTTCTCTGCCTCGGCATACTAAACATTCAGGAATGATTTCAGCTAACGTTGTTACTCCAGTTTATGGATTGTGCTGAAACTTCATGCATTTGTATGGGCAGGGAAAATGTATTTCATAAGCAAAACTTTAGGGAAAATGAACACTTCGAGAAACAATTCCATTGTGGTTAACTGCCCCAGGATCAGTAAGGGGGGCATGTAATGGCTTTGTTACTAAGGCTAGGTATTTGAGAAGCTTCATGTAACCCATTTAGAAATGTCTAAAGGAATATTGTGGTAAGCTATTAACAGATACCATTCCATTCCCTTGCAGTTGGTATAAGCAAGGGCATTCTGCCAAGTGGATTGTAGGGAGATGGCTGGGAAGAATTGGTCACCTGGTGTTCTAAAAACAATGAGGCAGATTCACCGCAACATTTATCTGCTTATGTCAGGCCTTATGGGAAAAATAAGACCAGATTCTTAAAAAGATGGCATTTACTTGACTATGACTATTGCAATCTGTTATTTACTGCAAGCAGTTCTCCAATTGAGTAAAGCCTCAGTTCAGTCCCATTGATGCTATTTTCATTTTTATTCAACTTCCTTATATATATTAAACAAAATTCTAAGTATACCTTGAACCATCAGTGATAAATGTATCTAAGCTGGAGGAGATGTTATGATTCAGTTAATGTTTCTGACTGAAGGAGGATTGATCTTTCTGGTCAGAAGTCAACAGGAATTTTGCTGTTGAGTCTAGTGGGTTTGACTTGCAACCTTTTTAAGAATTTTATTTAATGAGTGGCCTTCTGCAGTCTCTGAGCGGATTCTCCAGGAGATGGCAAAAGATTCTCCACATCTGCTCATTTCAAACCACCACTATGCTTGGCCTGTGGTTGCTAACTGGCAAGGGGGAAGTGTGGTCTTTATCTGCCCCCTTAAGAAAGGTTTTATGTGCAGAAAAGAGAAAATTATACTTTCCATGGTATGAAACTAAATATTTTTAGCAGTATGTAGGAAGCAGCAAGAGATAGCAGTATAGCTAATGGACTAAGTCCAAAAGTTGGCAGCCCTTTGCTTAGCACACATCAAGTATACTAGTAAGGAATACAGGTTTATTTTGCAGAAAATATGGGGAAGGAGATAAGTAAGGTGTGTAACACATGGATGCTACATTTATCTGTTTACATATTTATTGACCATCCATTAACAGCACTCTTGGAGTGGCTTGCAGGTGGTTCAAAACAACCTAACATTTAAAGAAGTTATAACACAAACACCAGTACGGAAACCAGCACAAAGCATTTGAAAAATATTCCTTCCACATACTTGATAAATCAGCCTTGCAAATAAGTCCACAGCAGTTCCTAGTCTATTAACCTACCTGCTCAATAATGCCATATAAGTAATTATTTTATGGCATAACCATAACCTTTCAGGGTGAGGGGTTGGATGGGGGTTATTCCAATTAAGGGCTTATCCACTCTTGTCCTGCTCCTCCTCCCACCCTCCAGGGGAAACTGCTCTTTAGTGCTCAGTTGGAGTAAATGGCAATTTGGTTTTTCTCTGGATTGAGACTTGTTTGGTTTTAGCACTAAAGAGCTGATTTTTCTCTGTGAAAGGAGTAGGGCAAGGGGAAAACCACTCAGATCTATGCCTAGAAAGTGCGGGTCAAACAGAAAACTGCTTGGACCAGTCCTTTCTAGGCATGGGACAAGTAGAAGTACAATGGAATGAGTAGAAGTGTGAATGAGCCCTTCACTAACAAAATTATTACCTACTTGATCATCTTGTCGCAATTTTTATTTGCCATAGCATAGGTGAATAGGCAGGTGGACTAGTCTTGATGAAACTTTCTAGTTACTACATTTTATGTATTCCCACTGTGATTTTTGAAGACCAAAAAATAGTAATTTACATAAGCACATTTAAGAGTTGGTATGGTTTAGTGGATGCGAGTGAGCTGGGAAGTTGACCTGATTGGGTTCAACTCATTGTTTAGATTGGATTTGGATGTTTGAATTTTTCTTTTAAGTAAAATTACAAACTGATTTTTGAAGTTTCCTCTGTTTTCAAAGTGGTTTGTTGTAAGCTGGCCAAGAAACACAAACACAAAATGCATTTTGCTTTGCATCTCATTTTTTAAATATATCTTTCATTATTATTCTCCACACCTCGTAGAGGAGTATGCAGTAGTTTTGGCTGTTTGATTGGTCCAGTATGCTGTGCTTGAAGAGAGCTATTTATTTAATATGACCCATTTTCCTCAGAGATGAAAGGAGGTAGCAGAGGCATACTCTACTATGACATTTGGGCCATTGAAATGAGCATTACCCGGAGCAGCTCTAACTCATGTCATTGGGCCTAGCACACCAGAAAACTCGTAGATTGTTTCTTAGAATGTCAGGAGAAGATTGCTCACCAGTCATCATCCTTCTTCTTGAAGAGAAGTGCACATTACTCAAATTCTGCATGGCATATATCTTTAAAAGGAGATTTGAGTACCTCAACTCTGGCAGTAGTAATGCTGTCAAAAGATTATTTATCAAAAGACAGGAAAACATTAGGGTTTAGTATGTAGGTGAATGGCCCTGTGTGTACTAAATCTTAAAACCACATAAGTAATTAACAATCATGCTTCTTTCATGACTTGGATATTTGGTGTTTTGAGCTACCATTTGGGGAATTCACTTCGTCAGAATAAGAAACTTAAGTTGCCAAACTAGATGTGCTGGGAGGTGTTTTTGCTTCAGTGAATGCCCTTCCATGAAAACATATGTTTTTCCCGATCCTATGAGCCAGCACATTTGCTTACCTCTGCCCTCAAGGCAACGAAATGTACTTTGGTGCAATAGAAGAGAAAGGAAGAGCAAGCCATCTCAGATCCCTGTGGAACGTTGCTTCCCCCTCAGGAACGGTTAACTAAATTTCATAAGGGATGTTTACACATTGAATTCAGCTAGTGTACAATCTCAGTATGCAGATTGTTGAGCTGTAGACTTGTTCATGCAGTTATTTGCATGTAATGCTTAACAAGTGCACAGTCTCTGTACCTGGGTAAATAATACCTGCACAAACCAACAGGCTGCACACTCTTTTACTTAAATGCTTGTGCATGTGTAGAAAAGGCTTTTACCTGGGTTCAGGGTAACATGTGAACAAACCCATGGCTTACCATTATCCACTTAAAGTCATAGCCATCTCTTTTTACTATCCTTTTAGTCTAGGCCTGTGAATTTTAATTATCCCACCACAATTGCAGTACTGTAAATAAAACCACAGTTTCTAAAATAGCACCAGGGTTCCAGTATGAGTTGTAATATATGATGCATTATGCCTGAGCAGGGAACTACAACAAAAGTAGGGGCCAGGGGTTATGAAAGCTGGTTCCTCTCCAAGCATCCCTGTCCCCAACCTTGAGGAGGAAGGTCTGAAGGGTGTTTCTATCATCAGTGCACACACACACACACACACACACTTCCTTCTCAGAAATAAAGGGAGGACTCTCTCACCAGATAGCAGGATGTGCATTGGCTTTTCTTCTCTTGTGTCTTAAAGGCATTTTGTCATTAGATTGGGGAGTCTACTTCAATTGCCTGGGCTCCACCATACCTCTGTCTTGCCTCAGCATTCTAGGATGAAAACATTGATATCCAGCAAGGAGGATGTTAATAAAAACATACATATCCTGCAAGAGGATATTGGCTAAGAGGGCAGTTTAGCACAGCACTACACCTCACCCCCAACCCCCCATCGCCAGCTAGAATCCAGAGCTTTCCACTTCCCCAGACTGGCACTTTGTGTTAACTTCCCCTGTTTGGATCAGTGGACTTTTCTTCTAGGATATGGAGAAGGAATGGTGTTTGTTGCCACTTTTTTTTAGTTTAGAGTGAATGTGATCCACTTCCATTGAGTTCCAGACCCTTCAAGTGTCCCTATTTTCCAGGGACAGTGCCGGATTTACAGAAGCCAACCCGGTTTCTTATTTGATCCTGGAATGTCCTGCTTTTCCTTAGGACATCCCTATTTCCATCAGAGAAATGTTGGAGGGTCTGGAGTTCTGGTGGATCAGAATAAAAAATACCTTCCATGCCAAAATTTAGCAGAGTAGAACCCATTCATACTTTCAAGAGAGAGCATCATGTTTTATTTTGAAGGCCACTTCCTTAAATATAATAACTCAGTGGTCAGCAATCCAAGTCAGATACATTTGGCTTCAAAATAGGAGAGCAACTCATGGCAGGAAATCTAAATTAATAGTACAGCAATGCTTTAGCAGGAGTGATAATAGGCTTCTCCATTTGCTTTGTGCTCATAAATCAGTATTTGATAAATCAATTTGGAATAATGAATTTTAATCCAAGGAACACATATTCTGCAACTTGTGTATGCAAGAGCTAAGAAAATATTTAGACAGAGAATATTTCTAGCTTCCAAATATAAAAAAAAAAATATTGGGGAGTCTTAGAGCATGCATTAAGAAAGGTGTCATGGTCAGTGCAAAACTGAAAAGCTTGAGTGATAACAGCAGAAACCTTACAAAT